AGCAAACCTGTCAGCTGCAAGGCCTTACTATGTGACTAGAAATGAGATACTAGCATGTCCTTGTTTAAAACCCCCTTGGAACAGTGTTTACAAAAAAGAATCACCTCAAATTTGCACATGATGCTTCAAATAAATTACCAAACAATTACTTGTGAAGTGCTCCAAACACAGACTCTAACCCTCCCCTCACAGAAAATCCAGAAAATCATACCGACTCAGAACACAGAAGCAGGACGACCCCAGGCATCCACCCTGCAGAACATGCAGAATTACATGGGCACCTGTGCTCTATGTGTGTGTGTGTGCACACATCACGTAGGTCAGCAGGTATGTGCACCTGTGCTGTGTGTGTGTGTGTGTGTGTGCACACATCACGTAGGCCAACAGGCATGTGTACCTGTGCTGTGTGTGTGTGTGTGCACACATCACGTAGGCCAGCAAGCATGTGCGCCTGTGCTGTGTGTATGGGTCTGAACACAACATGTAGACCAGAAGGCATGTGCACATGTGCTGTGCGTGCGTGCACATCATGTGGGCCACCATCCAAGGTGGTGGCGCCTGGGTGGTACAGATGCAATGGTCCACAAATGGGGAGACCCTGCTGCTCAAATGCACTCCTGCATGGACGCGGGGAGAGCCAAGACCACAGCAGGTGGCAGAGATGCCAGCCAGGCCCTTCCACGGCCACCTCAGGAATCCAAGGGGTATTCCAACTGCTCACTCTGACTCCAGCTGACATAATTTGGCAAAGTGCTTATGCATATTCTGACATACAAGGTTTAAAAAAACTGAGAAAGAAACTATACTGGCCAGGTGCAGAGGCTCATGCCTGTAATCCCAGCACTTTGGGGAGGCCAAAGCGGGAGGATCACTTGAGCCCATGAATTCGAGACCAGCCTGTCAAACACAGTAAGAGGCTATCAGAGCATTGAGGCCCAGCCCTGTGGCTGCCTGGCTGGCCAAGTGTACTGACACACCTGCCCTCTGAAGCTGCATCCTTTAATCACAGACCCCAAGGCACGCACAACCCAGTGGCTCCAAGTGCACCTGTAAGTGCCTCAACTCTCTGACGAAGACTCAGGGAAGAGAAGCCCAGGAGGCACCCCTGTGGGAACCACACGCGTGGAGCTGCTCACCTGCGCAGCCCCCTCCTCCAGCTCCCCCAGCTCCCCCCGACCGCCAGGCTCCGCCAATCCTCCGAGCCCCCCAGCCCACCAGCTCCCCAGAACCTCCGGCTCCCCCAGCACCCCCAGCTCCACCTGCCCTGCTTTCTGCTCCTGCATCTCTGAGCTCCTACAAGGTCACTTGGTGCTGGCACTCCAGGAGCAGGACCTCAGCACCCACCCTGTCCAGGGCTCCGGTCCTCTCTTCCTCCAGCAGGCATCTCTGATTGCACAGGGCTGTGACCAGCTTCTCCTGCCCAGGAAACATCTAGACATGCCACATCCCCACGCAGGGCACAGAAGGTGTTCGGGGGCAACCCTGCAAGAGCCGAGGCAAGGGACTGAAGCCTCAGCATGTCCTCATATAAACACAGAATTACAGATATAGTTACATAGTTATTCCTAAATATAATCATATGTAACCACATAACTATTCATATATAATCACAAATAAATACATCTATATAATCATATAATCTTACTAAGCCTCAGGTCAACAAATGTAAGACTGAAGTGGCACTGGAAAAGAGGTGACCCTAATGCAAGATGCTCTAAGTCCTCTGTTATGCCTGCATAAGGGCTGCTGGAGGGCGCCTTGGCTGGGTAACAGTGTCAGCGCTGTGAAAGCGCCCGCTGTCTAGACAGCTAGGGAAGGAAACGTCCAAGATGGCCGAGATGTCTCCTTCCTCGGGGGAGTTAGGAGAAAACTGCTCTTCTAAGCTCTTGTGGTAGGCCTGGCGTCTGTCAGGGAGGCCTGCAGACGTCCGGGGACTTAACTGTCTCTATGTGGTGCTGTGCTTCAGTGGTCACGTTCCCTGGCTACTTTCAAGTTCTGCCTCTGCACTTAGTTCTTCTTTTTCTTAGAAGATAAGAATTAATAATAGTAACATAAATCTTAGTGACCTTGTTGTTTCTTAAGTATGAAAAAAGTGCTGACACCTTAGGTTTTCTCGACTCGGCTTCTTCGAAGTCCTGGGCGTCCTATCTCCAAGAGATGTGACTTACCTGACCCTATCACTGACCACCATTACCTCATCTTAGCTGCCCTTCCCCTGCTTTGTACTCTATAAAGGTCAGAGCATACAGGTATTCGAGGCCATTGCCGGTCTCCACGCTTTGGGCAGAAGTGGACCCCTGGGCCCAAACTCTTCTCTTCTCTGTCTCTGTGTCTTGTGTCCTTTATTTCCAGTTTCTCATCTCCACACCAGCAGAGAGGGATTCACGGGACCCTGTAGGGCTGGACCCTACAGGAAGGTACACATGTTCCACACGCTTCCTGGACTAAATCAGGCCATGGTTTGAAATACACACTTCACATGTGAGATACATGTTCCTCCTTTCTGAATATTCTTTCAGAACTTCATTTTAAATCCACAGCTTGGGAACAAGTGCTATTCTCCAAAGCATAGCACTAGAGAGCCATGAATTCGAGACCAGCCTGGGAAACATGGCGAGAGCCAATCAGAGCCTTGAGGCCCAACCCTGTGGCTGCTGCCTGCCTGCCTGTCTGTGATCACAATCCTCAGATGCCAGTATCGGTTTCCTTCCTTTGGACTGGAAGAAAACTGATGCTAGCATCTGAGAACTGTGGTACACCTGGGGAGCAGCTCCCAGCAGCATCAAACCCCTGTCTAAATTGTGTCCAGAAAGACAACATGGCTCTAGCGTCTGTCAAGAGGCACATCCCAAGGTGGGAGCAGTGGCCCATGCTTGTAATCCCAACTACCTGGGAGGCCAAGGCAAGAGGACCTCTTAGGCCCAGGAGTTGAAGACTAGCCTAGGCAACACAGGGAGACTCTGTGTCTTAAAAAACAAACAAGAATCAAACCAACAAAACACATCCCCAGGACTCCCCTGACACCTGGTGAAGACAAGGACAGTACACAGAGGCCTCACGCAGGCAACTGGCTGCACCTCGCTCATGACAGTGGGGATGAGGACAGTACACAGGGACCCCAGACAGGCAACTGGCTGTGCCTTGCACATGACAGGACAGGCCTGAACGTACTCTGCTTTCCAGGAATTCCCCCCAGATCCCATGCTCAGACCACACAGAACAGCCTGGGCCAGGTGCAGAGGCTCACACCTATAATCCTAGCACTTTGGGAGGCTGAGGTGGGCAGATCACCTGAGGTCAGGAGTTCAAGACTAGCCTGACCAACATGGAAAAACCCTGTCTCTACTAAAAATACAAAAAATTAGCTGGGTGTGGTGGCACATGTCTGTAGTCCCAGCTACTTGGGAGGCTGAGGCAGGAGAATCACTTGAACCCAGGAGGCAGAGGTTGTGGTGAGCCATGATTGTGCCACTGCACTCCAGCCTGGGCGAAAAGAGCTAAACTGTCTCAAAAAAGAAAAAACCTGAAACAACATGAAACCCTCACAGCGGTTAAAGAAGGTGACACCTTTCGCCTTCTGTTCTTACACAGAGCTGAGCGAAAGCAAACAATAAACCCATGCTTTGGAGCCTCAATGCTGTTACCCACAGTCAGGTAGGAGGAAGCCCTCCCTGGGCACACTTGTATTGGGAAAGGAACATGTCCACCTGGCACATCTGTGTTTATCGAGCTTGCAATTCCCTAGTTTATCATTTGGAATATGAAGAAATGTCTGACAAGGAACTGACCTGCATCATCAGCTCCAGACACAGATGCTCGCGCGAATACATGTGACACAGACACTCGCACAGGCACACGCAGATGCTAACACGCATACATGTGACACAGACACCCGCACAGGCACACGCAGAGGCTGGAGCGCATACATGTGACACAGACACCCGCACGGGCACACGCAGACGCTCGCGCGCATACATGTGACACAGACACCCGCACGGGCACACGGAGATGCTCGCGCGCATAAATGTGACACACACACCCGCACGGGCACACGCAGACGCTCGCGCGCATACATGACACAGATACCCGCACAGGAACACACAGATGCTCACACACGCATACATGTGACACAGACACCCGCACAGGAACATGCAGACGCTCGCGCGCATACATGTGACACAGACACCCGCACAGGCACACGCAGACACTCGCGCGCGTACATGACACAGATACCCGCACAGGCACATGCAGATGCTCACACACGCATATATGTGACACAGACACCCGCACAGGAACACGCAGACGCTCGCGCACATACATGACACACCCACCCACACAGGCACACGCAGACGCTTGCGTGCATACATGTGACACAGACAGCATACATGACACACCCACCCACACAGGCACACGCAGACGCTTGCGTGCATACATGTGACACAGACACCCACACAGGCACACGCAGACGCTCGCACGCATACATGTGACACAGATACCCACACAGGCACACGCAGACGCTCACGCACGCATACATGTGACACAGACACCCACACAGGAACATGCAGACGCTCGCGCACGCACATGTGATACAGACATCCACAAAGGCACACAAAGACGCTTGCGCGCATACATGTGACACAAACACCCACATAGGAACACACAGATGCTCGTGCACATACATGTGACACAGACACCTGCACAGGCGCACACAGACGCTCACGTATGCATACATGTGACACAGACACCCACACAGATGCAGATACGCGTGCATACATGTAACACACCCACCCACACAGGAACACACAGATGCTCACGTGTGCATACATGTGACACAGATACGTGCACAGGCGCACAGACACGCTCACGTATGCGTACATGTGACACAGACACCCACCACACAGGCGCAGACGCTCACTCACACATACATGTGACATGTGGTGGAAACACACAGGCGGTGGAGGGAGGCTGTCCTGGACTGGGGCCGGGCCCCGGCACCTTACCTGGTGCGCTCCCTGCAGCTGGTGAGCCACGGTCCTAGTGAGCTCCGGGCTCGTTTGGGCTCGCAGGCCGTCCCGCACAGACTGCAGCTCCCCGTCATGTTTCTGCTTCAGTTTGTCCAACTCTTGAGTCAAAATCGTTCGGTGAAGAGAGTCCTTTTTCTGCAGTTGCTCCTCAAAGTCTGCTCGTAAGAGCTCTAGGGCCCGCCTGTGCTCCTCACGGATGGTCTGAATTTCAGACAGGTAACAGGATTCCAAAGAATCCAGGCTTGACAGATGTCTGGTCTCCAGAGCGCTGAGGTCAGCAGCATGTTTTGTCTGCAGTTCAGCTACACGTGCGGCCAGCAGAGCCCCCTGCTTGTTCTCTAAGGAGGCTGTCAGCTCGCCCAGCGCAGCCTGGTGTCTGGCCTCGAGCTCTGCTGTCACCGACACTAGCTGCTGCTGGTGTTTCTCCTCGAGGAGCTGCAGCTCCCGGGCATGCTGCTCCTGGGCCTCCCGCAGGAAGGCATCTTGGTCCGCACTGAATTTCTTGGTGATCTCTTTACGTTCCTCTAAAAACCTACGGCAACAAAGTGAACAGAGGACAAGTAAATACGCATCCAGGAAACATCCACCTTGCAAAACCCAAGTCAGTTTCTTACAAGGAACACCACTTCAACTGTTCTGGATTTTAACTGCTCTTACGCCTTCTCCCTCTACCACCAGAAATACTAAGTGGGAGAGTGAGTAGGCCCCATGAAACCAGAGGAGCCCAGAGGTCAAAGGCCAGAGCCATGGGAGTCACCAGGCCACAGACCACATTCAGGACTCAGTGTCTTTGGCAAGAACCGACACACACACATCCCATCAGAGCCACAGGTGGCAGTTACAACCAATCCCCTACTCACGCCAGGGCGTCTGAGTCAGCTCCCAACCAAGAATTCCAAGGTGGTCTCTGCTCCTCAACGGGGAAGGGGCACTGCCCATGGGGGCCCACGGGAAGGGAAGAGACCTGAGAACCCCATGGCAGGTGAATTAAGGAGGTGTGGGCGGCACTCAGGGCCAAAGACAGAGACAGTGAGAGTCCTAACAGAAGGACCAGCTCCCATCAGGAGGCCAAATAGGCTGGTGCCGGAGGGTCCTGCAAAGTGCCAAGGCCTCCAAAGGGTGCTGGTGACACAGGACAGATGGCAAGAGGCAGGGGCACCTCTGCGCCTGGAAGCCTCTCCCAGTCACTTTCTAAACCTCAAAAACTTTAGGGGCAAGTGTGTATGCTTCAGAAAAAAAATGTGTATTTAAAAATCACCTGTTTAAGTTAAAAAAAAAAAAAAAAAAAACTCTTAGTGGATAAACTGCATGTCCTTATGACACCTTATAAACGAGATTTAGCTTCTGCTGTTCAAATCTCAAAACACGCAAAGAACAGAGAAGATGACTGATGCCCGCCTCACCCCGACACCACCCAGAGAGTGCAGCCTTGCGGGGACCAGAGGTGGCGACTTGTTCCAGCTCCTCCTGACCTTTTCACCCAGTGGAGCCCCCAGCTCCTCCTCCTAGGAGCTGCCCTTCACCCTCCACAGTGTGTGGCCTCACAGGGACTGCAGATGGCGCCACAGCAAACCCACCTGCTCCGGGCCAGCATCAGCTGCAGGGCACAGTCCTCCTTCACTCGGAGTGCGGCAAGCTCCCCACTCTGGACTGCGGGTGGCTCCCGCCCACAATGGCTGCAGCGCAGGGCTTCGTCTGCCGTGAGCTCCTGTTCCAGCTGCTGCAGGCGGCCCTGCTGCTCCATCAAGGACCTCTCCAGATCCAGGATCTGGGCTGCCTGCTGGTCCTGAAGCTGCCTCATTTCAGCTTCTCGAAGCTCAAACTTGTTTACAATGGACTGTTTCTCAGATTCAGCCTTTTCTCTTAGTTCAAGAAGCATCAATGTTAATTTCTCCTCAGCTTCCCGCTGTAACTCCTCCCTTGTAACTTTCCAGTCCACTTCTTTTTTTTTGAATTCCTGTTTCATCAGCTGAATCTTTTGCATAGCGTTATCTAGTTCTTCCTGGTGGTCTTCAACTAAACTGTGCTTTACCTACAGACAACATAATTTTATCTAAGAGGAAAGAAGCTAATAGAAAAGATGACTGGAAGAGACAACCGAAACCCACCTCTGAAGACGGGGAACTTCCACCGCACACACACCCGTTACGCTGCACACAGCAATGGGAATGATTCTCATGTTGATGAGAATGGAAGAAACCTCAAGTGAACAAATTCTAAAACTAAATAAAATGCCTCCTACATGCTGGCACCGCAAACCAACTGTTCTTTATTTCTGGAGCCCGTGGCCTCGACAGCAACCAAAGCTGAAGGCACGCTCATCAGCTGAGCAAAGGCAGCGGCTAGAAGCCTTCTCTGTTCCAACTAAGACCAGCGGCAGGACTCAGATCGGCTACAGGCCTCCCACAGGGGAACACCAACCCCACAGAAAGCGTGGACTGCCTGTGGCAAGCAGGACCAGACACGAGGAAGCAAGAGCAGCAGATGGTGTGATGCTGCCATCCTGTACAAGGTCAAGGACAGAACACAGAAAGACCTGGAGCAAGGGGTGGATGAACTGCAAGGCTCACTGTAAAGGATCCTGTGCAGAGGGGGACGAAGAAGAATGCAGAAGGTAAATATTCTCATCTTTTCTTTTCCTTTTAGTTTTTTGAGACAGGGTCTGGCTCTGTCGCCCAGGCTGGAGTGCAGGGGCACCATCACAGCTCATGGCAGCCTCGAACTCCTGGGCTCAAGCGATCATTTATAGAGAGATTTTGTATGTTGCCCAGGCTGATCTCAAACTCCTGGGCTCAAGCAAGCCACCTGCCTCAGCCTCCTAAAGTGCTGGGATTGTTACAGGCATGAGACACCGTGCCTGACTTCCTGACTTTCAAAGAGGAAGAAGGTAGGTCAATAAACTCCTGAACTCATCAATCAGAAACAAAAAACCTCAAAAAGGCATGTAAGATTGACCTCAACTCCTTATTTAAAAATAAGTTATTAAAGTTTAGAGTCCTACATCTGGTGATGCCTGTGCACCTCGTCAGACCAGCCCTTCAGAGACGAGGACTATGAACTGAATAAAACGTAAAAACCCTGAAGGCCGTGGAGAGAACCACAGGCAGACAGACCGTGGAGAGGGCTGTATACTCAGAAGAAAGAAACGGCACTGGGCCATTTCTCTTTTTCGAGTTTTTCAGTAAGAGTAGGATCTGTCCGTGCTCCACTCAGAAACCCCATAATCCCTCTTGTGTGACCAGGAGAACTCGAGAGGGAGGGAGGAAAGAGAGCTGCAATGCCTGAGAGTGAACACCGCCCAAATCTCAGGCTGACCCCGACCGTATGTTCACAGGGCAGACTCCAAAAGCAAGCCGGCTAAAGCTACAAAAGCTGAATTGACACCAGGCCGCAGCCCAGCATAGCAGGGGAGCATGGAGTCTGAAGTCAGCCGAGTTAACCGCCTGCTGCAACACAAAACCACCACTCTTTGGAGGAGCAAGACAGAACCCAGAACCCAGAGTCTCCAAATCTATCACTCACGGTGTCCAGGATGCAACCCGAACCTGGCTAACACATAAATAAGCAGGAAAACGTGAACCCTGCTGAAGATGAAACGCAATCAATGGAGATCAATACCAAGACAAAAACAGACCGTAAAATTTGCAAAGAAGGGTTTTAAACATCTTGAAATACTGAATGAAATAACCTGTCACCTCAGACTTTCTTATGCAGCACAAATACTCCTTAAGGAACAAAAATACTCCTTAAGGTAAAGCTGGGCATAGGGCTCATGCCTGTAATCCCAGCACTTTGGGAGGCCAAGGCGGGCAGATCATCTGAGGTCGGGAGTTTGAGACCAGCCTGGCCAACGTGAAGAAACCCCTCCTCTACTAAAAATACAAAATTAGCTGAGCGTGATGGCACATGCCATAATCCCAGCTACTCAGGAGGCTGAGGCAGGAGAATTGCTTGAACCCGGGAGGCAGAGGTTACAGTGAGCCAAGATCGCGCCATCGCACTCCAGGCCTGGGTAACAAGACAGAAACTGTGTAAAAAAAAAAAAAAAACAGAATCAAGGTAAAATGAAGGTTTTTCAAAAACCAGAGCAGATGTGTGCAACACAACAAGCGATGCTGAAGGAGGTCCTTCAGGCTGAAGACACCAAACACACACTCACATCTTCAGGAAATGAGGAGCACCAGAAATGACAGGTCGAAGGCCATTCTTCCTCCTAATTTCTTTCAGATACATGTTTTCCAAAGCAAATCTCCTAACACTGCATGGAGCTTACATAGGGGAGATCAATGTGATGTCCATGAAAACTAGCACAGAAGACAAAGGGGAGGTAACGGAAGCACCTGTGCAGTTAGAAGTCACGGTTTAGGGAAGGCAGCATCATGGTGAAGACCTAGGTAGACTGTGCTGATAAAAGACAAAGTTAAGAATGCATATTCTTTTTTTTTCCTCTTTTCTGAGATGGAGTCTTGCTCTGGAGTGCACAGTGGCAGTGATCTCAGCTCACTGCAACCTCTGCCTCCTGGTTTCAAGTGATTCTCCTGCCTCAGGCCCCCTGGTAGCTGGGATTACAGGCATGTACCACCACACTCGCCTAATTTTTGTATTTTTTTTTTTAGTAAAGACAGGGTTCCCCATGTTGGCCAGGCTGGTCTCAAACTCCTGACTAAGGTGATTCACCCACCTCCCAAAGTGCTGGGATTACGGGCCTGAGCCACCATGCTGGGCCAAGAATGTGTATTCTAATCCCTGGGGCAACCATTAAAAACATAATGCAAAGAGGAATGACTTAACATAGCCAACAGACACATTAAAATCAATTCTAGAAAATATTCAAATAATCCAAAAACATAAGAAGAAGGAAAAGCAGAACCATGACCACCAGATGACTCTCATAGAAAACAAATAGTAAAATGGAAGACCTAAGTCGACCACATCAGTAATTACACTAAACATTAATAGACTCAGCACTGTAACTAAAAGGCAGAGATGATCAGAATGGATTTAAAAAAACATCTGCTGTCCACATAAAATGCACTTTACTTTGAACAGATTAAAAGTAGGCTGGGTGCAGTGGCTCACATCTGCAATCCCAGCACTTCAGGAGGCCAAGACGGGTGCATCACTTGAGCCCAAGAGCTTGAGACCAGCCTGGGCAACCTGACATAAGCCCTTCTCTACAAAAAACACAAAAATTAGATGGTGGTGCACATCTGTATTCCCAGCTACTTGGGAGGCTGAGGTGGGAGGATCCCTTGAGCCTGGGAGGCAGAGGTTGCAGTGAGCCAAGACTGTGCCACTGCACTCCAGCCAGGGTGACAGCCTGTCCCCCCCAAAAAAAGTAAAACGCATAAAAAAAGATACATCAGACAAAATGCACATGGAGGTTGGAATGACTGTATTGATAAAAGATGAGGCCGTGGCTCATACCTGTAATCCCAGGACTTTGGGAGGCTGAGGTGGGCAGATCATGAGGTCAGGAGTTTGAGACCAACCTGGCCAACGTGGTGAAACCCCATCTCTACTAAAAATACGAAAATTAGCCGGGCATTGTGGTGTGCGCCTGTAATACCAGCTACTCAGAAGGCTGAGGCAGGAGAATCACTGGAACCCAGGGGGTGGAGGTTGCAGTGAGCCAAGATTGCACTACTGCGCTCCAGCCTGGGTGACAGAGCAAGACTCCGTCTAAAAACAAACAAAAAAAGTCACTTGGACAAATCTGTCTTAAGCCAACAGTGCTAGAGAATGCCACATGCTGGTGGCTGCAGGCGTGGCCGGCACACAACTATTAGCCCATGCTCCACCTGCTGGGCTCCCCACAGGGCTCCACCCTCATCTCTATTTTGCCTGAAGTCCTAGCCAACACCTGAGTTTAACAAACAGCATGGGACCAGACTTGCAGGTCATAACAGCTTCTGATGAAGCTGTCTCTCGATGGGAGAATGAAAATCCAAAGACATTCACAGGGAGGAGCAGATGGATGGGAGGAGCAGGACACGAATGGAAATGAAAACACGGTGGCAAGCATGAGGCGGAGTCAGAACACACGTGACGAGACATGACATCTTGGTTCACTTTAATGCCACTGCTCCAGCCTGGGATGGACCCTGAGCTGCCCTGGCTGTAACCAAGCCCATCAGGCTGGGTGGAGGCTGCTTCGCATTGCTTTGTCAACCCTTATGACAGCACGACACTGACTTCACACTCGCAAAGGGTGACCAAAGTCATCAGAGGGCACCTCTTCCACGGGTGCAAGACAGCACAGGAAGAGCCTGGGGAACGGGGATGCAGTTTAAGACTTAGGGTGAGCATCAGAAGCCAGCTGCATGAGCTCGGGCTCATGCCTCCTCCCAGAGCCCTCTGAGGACACCTGGACAGTTTCCCTAAGAAATTCTGACTCACAGGGCTAGGCACAGTGGGCTGGGATGCCAAGGTTGGCAGATCACGTGAGGTCAGGCATTTGAGACCAACCTGTCCAACAAGGCAAATCCAACTCTATAAAAACTACAAAAACTAGCTGGGCATGGTGGCACACATTTGTAATCCCAGCTACTCAGGAGATCGCTTGAAATGGGGAAGCAGGTTACAGTGGGCGGAGATCAGGCCACCACACTCCATCCTGGGCAACAGAATGAGACTCCACCTCAAAACAAGACAAACAAAAGAAACCTTCACTCAGAACTTCGCTTTTGCCCCTGTGCTGACCCTGACGAGATTCTGTCCAACCGCCACCCACTACTGGCATGGCCAGGAATAGTTTCAAGAAAATATGGGATTGTTGCCCTCACAAGTGAGGCACATACAGCACTGGGGTGTCCCCAAGGTGGCCCTCCATACACGAGAACACATGCCTTCCAAGTGCAAGAGATTGAGGACTCGGGCGGGAGGCGCAGGGCTGTGGAGTCACTACTCACCTTCTCCAAGTCTTCCTTCAGACGGATTTCACGCTGCAACTTCTCGTGCAAATTCCTATTTTCTATTTTTAGAAGTTCAATTTCTTCCTTGAGCTCAGTATGAAGAAGCGAAAGTTTAACCTTATGCTCCGTTTCCAGACCCAAGACTCTGGCTGCCACCTCTGTGTCTGCCTCCACGGCCCCATCCTGGAGATGTACCCAGGGGAGCTCTGTGTGGAAAAGGAGCAGGGAAGACAGTCACACCGGTACCAGCCCTCGAGGGAGCCCACAGGCTGCACAGTGACCTATAAATGCTTCCGATCACAGACACTGTAGATTTGCAAGTTCTGGGCTCAGTCATGGAAGTGGGCACTACTCTCTCAAGCGTCCCCTCCCTTTTGGGAGACCTCCATGCTGCCCCAGCATAGCGCCATCCTGAGTCCTGGGATGTCCTGGGCCCACACAGCAGCTGCCCAGCCAGCCCAGGCTACTCCTTCAGGTCAGGTGTGACAAGTAACCCTCCATGAGTTCCTGAGTGAGCCTCATGCCTGGGACCAGATGTGGGCACATGTGTGTTACTCAGGGTCTCTGAGGCAGCCAGAAGGACAAGGCCCGAGCTCAGGGGCCCGCGAGGGGTCCCATCCCAGCCCCCCCCCCGCTGCTCTGTGCCTGAGCACGCCACCTCCACCAGCCCATTTCTTCCTCTGCAGAAGAGGAAAACAGGGAGAAGGCATCAGGTGGCCAGGCACCAGTGGCACCCAGCAGCCATGTGCCTCAAGGTACGCCACGCCCACTGCCACCTGTGGGGACAGCAGTGGTACGGGACAGACAGGAGTGAGGACCAGGTGCAGGCGCCGTTGTATCGCCCCACCTTGAAGGAGAGTCAGGCTCCTCTCCACTTGGCCAGAGCCCAGAGTGGGGTTGGACCACGTGCCTCCCAGCGGGACTCGCGGCCATAATGGCCGCCCACCATCACCACGTCCGTGCCAGGGGCCAGGGCTCGCTGCTTCTTGTGGAGACCCTGTCAGCGCCAGTCCAGCGCCATGGACCACGCCTCTGGGATGACTGCAGCTTCCTCTCCGTCCCCTTCTGATCTCACAGCTCTGTGCCCCGTGCCCTACCTGGACATCCCACAACCCTGGTCTGACTACGTGAGCTGGGGGTGCTGGGCCTGCTGGGGCAGAACAGGATCCTGGAAAAGCTTCCCCTGGGCCCAGCTGACATTCATTCTCCCTCCAGAGGCAAGTGGTCACCATGTCCATCCAGCAATCCCCATGACCCCCAGGGTGCCCGCCCGGGTCAGACCTGCGCTGCTGAGGAGCCAGCCCATGACACGCGCTCCCACCCAGCCAGCGACCCGCCTTCAACGCCAAACCCTCATCGGGACACACTGTTGAGGCGCCAGCCTCAGCAGAAGAGGTTGGAGCACCCCGGTGCTTCACGGAGGACTGGGATCAACCCAGGCACCTGGGCTCCCCGAGACTGTCCCCCAGAGCTAGCACCTGCTGACACCACAGTGGGACAGGAGGAGCTCACCTTGGCTGTGCCCTTCAGAGGGCTCCTGACGCCACGCCTGTCCCAACACTGCAGCCTCCGCGTGGCATCTGTCTGAGACGTGCCCCTCTTGCTGGATGCAGAGAGCTGACTCCAGCGCTTCCAACTGGTGCCCGTGGCTCTCTTCCAACTCCACCTGGAAGCACGGCAGGCTCTCCTGCAGAGAAACCACATGGGACAAGCACGCTAGTGAGCCGAGCTACCTCCCTTGCAGATATAACCCCCAAAGGTGTTTCCCGCCATGCACAAAGAAAACCCAAACCTCACCAGGTTCATGAGACCACACACCATGCTCTGGTGAACACCGCCTGCCCAAGGGGGCGCTCACATGCTCTCCTACCCACACCCGTCTCTCAGCCAGGCCGCCAGATGACACAGGAGCTGGTGGCACCAAAAAGAGCTGGTGCTGTCCGGGGGACAGGGCCCTGGACTGTGCAGACCTCTCCTTGATGCTCTGAGCAGCAGGGTCAGTGGGGCACGTGCCCCTCACGTTTCTCCCCGTGGCCTCACATCTCAGGCCTGAGCTCTCTTCTCAAGGCCAGCCTCCTGTGACTACTGCCCATTAACAGCTGTATCCTCATCACACTCACGCCTGGAGGCAGGGGTTGGCTCTCAGACGATACAGGGATGCCTGGTGGGGCTGCACACTGCACCCCTTCCCAGGCTCTCCCTCTGTGACGAGGCCTACTTGTGGAACGGCCCTGGCCACCTGTTCCAGCTGGGCCTTGCCCTGCTCTGGCGTTTTCCCCATAGCCTCTTGTGAGGCAAATCCTGTCTTGGGGTTTGTTTTGCAGGAAACTCAAACTGGCGTACGGCCCACTGCCATCCTGCTTGAACACCCTGCAGCCTCCAGCGGGCCCAGGGACCCTACTCCAGTGTGAAGGCTACTGACTGCTGTGCCCAGAGGCCCCAGGTTCCCCTCTACTGGTTCCACCACACAACAAACCACGTGGTGCTGCCCCTGCATCTCCTCCCTGCGTGACCCCGGAGCCTGATGCCAGGCTTGCTCATGCCACACAGCAAGTGCTCCATGGCGCCATGTGTCCTGGTGGGCCCCACGCTGGCAGCACAGACCCAGAACATTCCATCATCCCAGAAGTTCTGTTTAGACAGCAGTGCGCCACAGAGTTAAAGGTGACAGAAGTAGCAGCATGGAAGCAATTCAAGGAAGAAATACAAAAGCCAGCCGGCGTTCTGTGCATACTCAAAGCAAAGATGCAATTTCACACCCTTCCAACTGCCACAGTCAAGTCTGATGAATGCAGCCCACTGCAGGGAGGAGGGGGCCTTGCCCACAGCCAAGGCCTCCGAGGGCTGACGGAGGGGCTCCAGCTCCCCTGGCCACCACCTTTCCTGATCAAATAGTGCTCGGTGAGGCCCGCCCCGGAGGAGCAGTGAAGTCAAGGGCAGCATCCACAAGACACGCAAGCAGCCTTCCTTCCATGGACAAGCCCCGGGAGGAACAGAAACGCTGGCTCTATCATGTGGAAGACGCCTGGCTGGAAGGTAACGAGCAGAGGACTCACCCTCTTCTCAGCGCTCCGCCAATTACCTTATATTGCTCAGGCTCAAGTTTATCCAGGTGATCTTTTCTTTCTTTCTCAGGTGTCTCTTCGAAACCCATGCAGGATGAACTGAGGAGAAAACGGTTTGTAAAAACCCTACACACATGCCCCTTTTCCCCGTGCACTCCATTCTCTCCCCAGGACTGACAGTTCACAGGTGTCTCCTCGTGCTTCCACTCAAGGACTTCCCCGACACGCAGGGAACCATGGAGGCCTCAAAGACACGGCACAGGGACACCCAGGCCTGGCCGAGAGCGTCCCTGCCAGCAACTCACATACACATGCACAGGCTTGGACGAGAGCGCGCCCACCATCGACACACACCCACCACCGACTCACACACACACAGGCCTGGACGAAACACACCCACCACCGACTCACACACACACAGGCCTGGATGGCACACCCACCACCAACTCACACACACACACACAGGCCTGGATGGCACACCCACCACCGACTCACACACATACACACACACAGGCCTGGACAGCACACCCACCACCGACTCACACACACACACAGGCCTGGATGGCACACCTACCACCAACACACACACACACACAGGCATGGACGGCACACCCACCACCAACTCACACACCCACACACACACACAGAGGCATGGACGGCACACCCACCACCAACTCTCTCTCACACACACACACACACACACACACACACAGGCATGGACGGCACACCCACCACCAACTCACACACACACACACACAGGCCTGGACGAGAGCGTGCTCACTGACTTGCGCATACAGACATGCACCCTGGCCTGGATGAGAGTGCGCCCACCACCAACAGCTACACACAGATCTGGATGAGAATGTGGCCGCCACTGACTCATGCACACACACACATGGGCAGGCCACACTCGGGTGCTTGTGCCTATATCATTTCAGTCTCAACCATAAAATGTGTTTGTACGAAAGGCCATTGGTGTCCACTGGCCTGAAATCACCAAAGCTACACCTGAACTCGGAGCATGGCACCTGGACTTCAGGAACATACCGACGCTGGAAACTGCTTTATTTACCCGACTTCCACAGAATCCAGAAGAGCATCTTCCCTCGCCCCCTGCAACCTCTGTTGTAATAGGGTTAGGTCTTCTTGGTAAGTTTTTTCAGCATCCCTTAACTTCTTTTCAAAATAAATCCTCAGATGCTCCAGTTCAGACTCATGCTGGATTTTTGCTTGCTGTTGCTGCTGTTCAAAGCCCTGCTTCAGCTGTTCCAAATCTTCCACGTGAGAGGTGCGTGCCAGGAGCTGCTCATGTAACTCTGCAACATGATGGTGTCACACAATCATCTTAACATGGGATACCCACAACAAGCCAGGCGACAGGCCAAGAGCCTCGTTACCTGTGGTAGGGGCAGAACTCAGGAAAGGGCCCATTCCAGAACCTGAGAGTGACGAGGGACCCCCGCGGCTTAGACTCTCACATGCCCCTCAAAGTGGACAGCTATCTCCAAGCAGTGGCAAGAGCCATAGGGCTGGGAGCACGAGCAGCCCTCCAAGTGGCAGGGGCGCAGTGGCCACAGTCAGCATAAGACGGACGATGGTCATGCAGCCCCAGGAAACTGGATTTGGACCAACCTGAACAAGCCCAGAAGCAGGCTCAGGTCAGTGCACGCTGGCCGACACCTGGATGTGGACTACGGGGGAGGACCCTGGACAGAAAACCCAGCTGCACCACCTTGGACTTTCTGTAAGCTAACAAATGCGTGTTGCTTTAGGCCACCAAGTTTGCTATAATATGTTACACGGCAACAGAAAAGCAACGTGGACCTGAAGAGAACTTGTCCCCATTGCTACTGTGTTCAGGAGACTACAGTCCGCTGCTCTACAGTGGTTGACAGCCAGCAACGGGCACTGAAGCTGCTCACTACCACAGAGGTGGCAAATCAGGGTTCTCTGCATGGGTCCTGAGAGGCAGGACAGAGACAAGCTGAGTACTAAGCCAGAACCGGAGCCTGCGCAGAACAGCCGTGCCTCTGGACCCCTCGGCTTCTGTCTTCTGCAGCCTCCAGCGATAGACATACCCCAAGGGAAAGTCAAATTGACACGCACCCAGCTCTACCTGGTCCCAACAGGGCACAGGGCTGGGAGGCGGAGCCAGGCCTAGTGCCCTGGTAACAGCAGTGGAGTCTCCGGTTCTTTCTCCTAAGTGCTCTTTGCTCCAAATCCCACCACCCACAAGGATGAGTTGGGCCGGAGGCTCTGCCTGCACCTGAGCTCCAGGAGGCGCACAATGGCTCACCCTCCTGTCCTGTGGCCCTGGGTGCCAGAGCCTGAATTGGGCTTGGCCAGCCCTTGCCCTCAGGCACCATCCTCACTAGCTGCACAGAGACCTCTGTGACATGGAAACGGAGGCCTAGGGTCGGGGTCTCCAGAGGTGCTCAGCTGTAGGGGGGCACCTGGAGCAGAGCAGCCCTCAGTAAGTGGCTACGGCTGCTGGGGCATGGAGACCCGGAGAGCTGGGGCCACAGGAGCCTGGCAACAGGATGTGAGGCACCACCCTGTGACCCCAGACACTGGGTAAGCCAACATGCACCTGGACAGCACTCAACGGCCTTGCCAAGGTGAACACTCAGCACTACTGGAAAGCTTTCCGGAGATGTGAAGGCACCACCCCCTGCCAGTGTCAGTCTCACCTTCAGGGACACACAGGTGCACATCACTGCTGCACTGGGCTTAGCATAAAACCAGCGCTATCTCTCACAAATAAACCTCCACCTTCAAACCATACACATCAACCTTCAAGATGCTGAACAGGTAAATCACTCTTCTGTGCTTGCTAGAATTGTTAAATTCTAGCTTGGGGTTACAACAATAAAAAACACACAGCTTCAGTTTTTAGGGATCTGAATTTTCCAAAAGAATTCCTCACCACTCAGTTCCTGTCTACTGGTCCTCGTAGAATCAAGCTGGGACCACAGGTGCCTGATCTCTTCTTGTGACTGCACCTTTAGGTCTTCGTATGATGCCTGAAGATTCTCTAACTAGAAAAAAGCAACGCGTTGAGGTGAGAACCTAATGAGCTCAAGGCCCCCACCCCAGCAGAGACGCGTGTGGTTTTATCCCCTGCCACTGCGACCCTCAGGGTAAATGTCCACATCCCAAACCTGCAGCTCAGAGAAAGCTGGCCACAGCAGAGACAGAGAGAGCTCTGTCCGTGGCAAGAGGGATCAGTGCTGACTCCACAAGGCCAAGCACTTTCAGAATCACAGCGCCTTCCAGGTCTGTGTGTCACAGCTGAGAAGTAGGCCCGGCCAGGTTCCATGACAGCCGCAGCTGTGTGGTTTCACCTGTGTGCACCTCCCTGCTTCGGTTTTGGGGTCACACATACAGACCGCTGAATGAAATTTACGGAGTCTTACTAGCCCATAGTACCCATGACTACCAAACAGGGGGCTTCTACTTTCAATACTTTTAAATGAAGGAAGCAGATACCTCTTACACTGTGACACTAAACTTTTCTGTACAATCAGCAAGACCCCAGCCCAGCATGGCACGATGTCCGGGCAACGCTGCACCTGGGGTTGAGCTGTCCTCATGAAAACTGCCCCTCCTACCTTTCCCCATCGTGGGCATCAGGACCAGCAGGTGCTAGCAGCCCCCTCTTTCCCATCCATGAGGAGAAGCCTGGAAGGGCCCAGGGAGAGACTGGGGTGTGGAGCGAGGCCAGGCCTGAGCACTCTGCAGGAGGAGGGTGTGTGGGCACCGGAGTCCCGCTGGGAGACATAAGGGGCCCAGGACAGGCCTCCCCAAAACCCTAGACCCCAGCTACTTCTGTATTCTTAGGAGTCTAAATCTTTCACAAACCACGACTAACCCCATCTGTGATTTATGTTGTAATTTCCTGAACTGATGCTTGGGATACTTGGTCTGAGGCCTGGGTTTGTCAGGCCCCCTACAAGGACCTGTGTTTCATTAGAAAAGCATCTTGAATATAAAACAGCAGAAAAAGTTTTGGTTAACTTTTCCCAGGAATCTCAGGTTTACTGGATTATGGTCAGAGGATGTGGCCTTACACCTACCTAGTGTTTGAAATTTGTGTAATTGTCTCAGGGAGACCTGTAAAGAATATGCATTGCACTTTTATTCACCACTGACTGTCTTTCTAAATTTATTTACTTTGTTTTATTTTATTTGTTTTTGAGACGGAGTCTGGCTCTGTCACCCAGGCTGGAGTGTAGTGGCACGATCTCAGCTTACCGCAACCTCTGCCTCCTGGGTTTAAGCAATTCTTATGCCTCAGCCTCCTGAGTAGCTGGGATTATAGGTGCCCGCCACCACACCCAGCTAACTTTTGTATTTTTAGTAGAGATGGGGTTTCACTATGTTGGCCAGGCTGGTTTCAAACTCCTGACCTCATGTGATCCACCCACCTTGGCCTCCCCCAAAGTGCTGGAATTACAGGCGTGAGCCACCACACCCGGCCAGTCTCTTTAAATTTAGTACTTAAGTTTTAGCAAATAACATAATGCGAAACAGCCCGATTCCCAAATCTTTTAAAGCTTCCTTAATATACCAAGCAATTAAAATAACTTAAGCTGCTGCCCACCTCCAGCTGTTTTTCTTTTTCATTTTCTTTGAACTTTAACTCCAAGTCTTCTAAATACCGGCAGTGCTCGGACTGCAGGTCTTCACGTAACTTTTCAATGGCTACTTGATGTTGACTCTCCAGGTTCCTAAGGGCCCCTAGAAGGGTAAAACAACCTCACTTGGTTTACAAGACAGGGGCTCCAGTAACAGTAACGGTGCAAGCAGAGCACTGCCACCCAGGGCCGTGCCCTGGGCATCCCATATCCCCCCGGGCCCCTCGTGTGAATCTCACACGCCCCACCCCAGTGGGGCACGGACATCACCTACCCATGCCATCCCACCATGAGGGCCATGCTGGAACACGCATGAGTTTCGAAAGTGAACCAGCACAACGCGGCTGCTTTGGTAATAATTTAGTAACTGAGCATGCCAAGAAAATCTCTGAAGCAAATATCAGGAAGGTTTAAGGATCCTGAGAGTCCTGTGACCCCTGACAGCCACCAGCCTGTCACACGTGCACGGAGCCATCCAGCATTTAGAAGTAAAGGCAGGTTGTTTCCTATGATCTATGTTAGAGGGAAAAAAAAGCAAAGGCAGGAAACATGTGCTCCATCACGCATGGTGACATGAACAGCATTCCTTAAGATGTGCTCCATCACGCATGGTGACATGAACAGCATTCCTTAACGTGTGCTCCATCACGCATGGTGACATGAACAGCATTCCTTCCAGTTATCACCCAGAAGAACTCAGTCCCACTCCACACTTGCTCATTTTCATTACTCACATTCAGCCTGGTTTTTGTCTTGAAAAATCTTCTCCAACTCAACTTTCTGTTCTGCCAATTCTTTCTGAAACTGGTTTTGTAAATCCTTCATTTCTGACTGATGCTTTGCAGACAATTCTTTGCGTAGATTTTCTAAACATAAATCTTTTTCAGATTCCCAGTCTTCCTTCAGGGTCTAATTAAGAAAAAAATTAAAGTCAATAGTTGATTATCTGTGCTAAAGAAATTTAAATCACACAGTCAAAACTCATGAGGAAGCCAGGCAAAGTGGCTCATGTCTGTAATCCCAGCACTTTGAGAGGCCGGGCGGGCAGATCACCAGAGCCCAGGAATTTGAGACCAGCCTGGGCAACATAGTGAGACCCCATCTCTACAAAAAAAATGCAAAATGAGCTGTGTGTGGTAGCACGTGCCTGTAGTCCCAGCTACTCGGGAGGCTGAGGCAGGAGGATCAAATGAGCCCAGGAGGTCAAGGCTGCAGTGAGCTATGATTGTGCCACTGCACTCCAGCCTGGGGAGGCAGAACGAGGCCCTGTCTCAAAACAAAACAAAACAAAAAACAAGAACGGGAGTCATTGCCCCCAACTAAACTGTCCTGACAGGCCTGACACCCAGTCTCTCTCCTGAGTGCTGGCAGGAGAGAGAAGCAGAAGCATCCGGGAGGCAAGCAGCCGGGAAAAGTCAGGACCATCCACCCCAAAACACACGGGCCTCTGCAGGCAGCGAGCAAGGACCACCCACCCCAAAACAGACCGGCCTCTGCACGCAGCGAGCAAGGACCACCCACCCCAAAACAGGCTGGCCTCTGCACGCAGCAAGGACTGCCCACCCCAAAACAGACCGGCCTCTGCACGCAGCAAGCAAGGACTGCCTACCCCAAAATAGACCGGCCTCTGCACACAAGGCATAATCTACACAGTCACCCTCAAAGCATTAGAAATGCATCTCCCCACAAGACCTAGGAACCAATGACAACTTTGCCCACCTTCACCCAAGGGCTGATCTCTGTCCCAAGTGCTCTGAGAAATGAATCCCACTGCCTGGGTCAGAGGAGCAGGTGACCGGAACACAATCCCAAGCCTGGACTGATATCCATTGCCTGCCAATGGCCTGAGAGCTGCCCAGACATTTGGCTCAGGAAGGGTCTCCACACTCAGCACTGCAGACGGCTCACTCCTCTGGCAAAGGGCCTGGCAATGACGTGGCACTACCTGTGGTCCCCCAGTGAGGCCACCCGTAGCAGGTGCAACCCACCCCACCAGAAACCTCCTCCTTGTTTGGTATCCTCCCCAGCGCCGCAGCATCCACACCCCATGCACTGTAGCTAACTGCCATGTCCACGTGGGCAGAGGCTGTGTCCAGAACACACTCAGGGGCAGGCCACAGGGGGCACTCGGAAGCCAGCATGGAGGGGCAGATGAGCGCCTTTATGTTATACAAGTCAATGTAAAATACAAAGCACGCTTTCTGACAAATACAGACTACATAAACAAAGAGTGCAATATACTGTCATCCAGCATATTCTAATAAAGCCTCGACTGGCTCCTGTCTGAATCCAGGTGAGAAGTGTTCTCGTGGGACCTGGCAAGAAAGGAAAAACAACACACAGAAACCTGCATTTTACAATCGATCACAGGTACCTTTATTATCTGGGCGTTTTTCTCCATTTCTGATTGTAATTTCTCCTTCAGCTCAGCTGCAAGAAAAACAAAAAGCAGCTCAGGTCACTCAATCTCAACGTTTTCAGTGATCCGATCACCCAGGAAACAACCAGGCTCTGGCACCCACTGGACGTGTGGCAGCGCTCACGGGCTAGCAGAACGTGTCTGTGATGGCATCTGGCTTAAATAACAAACTGAGGCCACCGTGACTTCCAGCCACACAGAACAATCTAAGAGAGGAGGTGAAGGTCAGCCCTGGGTCTCATCTCAATACCTGCTCTAATCTCCTGGCCACAAAAACCCGAGGGACCCCTTTGTTCAGGCTCTCACAGAACCAGATGGTGAGGTGCTGAGAACAGAGACGGGGAGACAGTGCTAGGGTGCCCCAGCTCCCAACCCCAAGAGGAAAGAAGCACAAGAACGCCCACGCCGAGCCCACACACCACCTGCGCCCACCTAGCCCATGCAGTACCTGCTTCCTGTCCACACCTGAGCGCCACCTCCTCCTTCTCCCGTGCGTGCTGCTCCCGGAGGAGATCCAGCTCATGCTGCTGCCGGCTCTGCAGCAGGGCCAGCTCCTGGGCACGCCGGCTGTTGAGCATCTCCCGCAGCTCCGTCAGCGCCGTCTCCTTCTCCTTCTGGAGGTTGGCCTGCGTCAGCTCCAGCTGCGTTGTGTGCATGTTGCTCAGGCTGAGGCGCAGCGCCTCCAGTTCAAGGCCGTGCACCGCCTGCAGTGGAGAGAAGGCCTCTGATGAGGGCCCATGCTCAGAACCAGGGCACGTCAGGAGACAGAGAAGCATGAATGAGAATGAGTAAGGGTAAGGAGGACACAGAAAGGGAAACAGCAGACACCTCCTGGGGGCAAGGGCAGGACACAGAGACCCAGACGACACCGAGACGCCAACCAGCAACTCTGCCAGTGACCCCACAGCTCATCACCGCCCTGAGTACCAGCGCCCCAAATTCCCTCACTGGACAACAGCATTGTACCTGGAGGGGGCTTCGCAGTTGATAGGGAGAGTGGCCAGCCCTGAGGTCAGTGTGTCACTCATGTGGCCTGCACCTGATCAAGCCCCCTGACCTCCGACAGCCACGCCTGTTCCCTCCACCAGCCCTTCTGTGGCTCCACACACAGAATGTGGAAACAAACAAGGCAGAGAGAGGAGATGGCAGCAACTGCCCCACCCACCGGGAGCCCGTTGTGCCCTGAAGGGTAACAGAGCCCATGCTATGAGCCTGTGTGGGCCCCACCAGGTCACCTGACTCTGCTGCAGGCCAGCCTCATCTTCGCGCCGGCTCTCCATGTCAGCAATGGCAAGTTCACATTCTTGTTCATACTCCTGGGGAAAAAAGGCAAAGGATATGATCCAGAATTCACATGAGAAAACAGTCACTAAGAAGCCATCGTGATGTGCCCAAGAGCTGAAAATTCACATCCTCACAAAATCCCATACACACTTGTCCACAGCAGGAGCAACCCAAAAGCCCACTGACGAATAAACAGTTGAACAAAAAGTGGGCTGCCACTCAGCCACAAGAAGGAATGAAGCCCTGACTCAGGCTGCAACACAGAGCAGCCCTGAAGACGTGAGCTGAGTGGAAGAGCAGACACAGAAGGCCCATGCGGTGAGGTTCCATTTACATATGTTCAGGATCCATAAATCCACAGGGCAGCCCTGAAGCCACGAGCTGAGTGGAAGAGCAGACACAGAAGGCCGCATGTGGTGAGGTTCTATTTACATATGTTCAGGATCCATAAATCCATAGCGATGGAGTATCCTGGAGGCCACTGCACTCCAGCGTGGGCGAGAGTAAGACTTCACATCAAAAAAATAAATAAAGTCCTAGGAACACAAGCTGTGATCTCTCCCCCACGCCACAGCCGTGCTGCCATGGAGGGAACGCATAACCTGCTCTCAGGAAAAGGGGAAAGAAACACCTACAGAGGGAAAACGTGCATAAAGTGCCTGGATAAAGTGGGTACCAATTACGGTAACCCAATCCGGAAACACAAACTCGAAAGATCTCTGTGTGGCCACTAAATCTAACGTTGGTAAGAATATTACAAACCCTCAGTGCCACTGCAGCCAGAGGAAACAAACCCACCCAAGCACTATCAACGTCAGAATCCGTTGCTTCAACTTTTTTCTCAGCAGCCGTTTTTTGGTGACGTAGGTTGAGTTACAGAAAGCCTTTCCCTGTCTCAACATTCCCACCTCTGGAAACGTTTTCAGTAGCAATAACCCAAAGGGAAGAGGAAAGCTGCAAGGGGCCCTCAGCATGGATCCTGAGCCCACCGTCACCCTGACCCTCCCTGCAGGCTCCTGCCCCCCTGACCGGCACCTAGGACGTCTCCCCTGCCTGTGGAAGCGACCATTCTCTGGCTTCCCCTGCACAGCCAGGCACCTCTCTGGGCTCCAGGTGACCCACTTGCTCGCAGAGTATTTCAGACTAAAAAATGACCCAAACTAAATTTTTCTGCCCAAACTGGGGGACTGGCTAGGGGTGGAGAGATAGAGGCTTCATACAGCTGTGAAGGCTAGAAAGGCCCCTCAAGGAACTAGACAGAGAGGGTGGCGTGGGAGCTCCACAGGGGCTGCTGTGCAGGGACTTATCCCCAGGGCGGATGCTGCACCAGTGCAACAACATCTCCCTTCAATGTCAGGGGCTCGGGCTGGGCACGGTGGCTCACACCTGTAATCCCAGCACTCTGGGGGGCCAAGGTGGGCAGATCACGAGGTCAGGAGTTCGAGACCAGCCTGGGCAACATGGTGAAACCCCATCTCTACAAAATATACAAAAATTAGCCAGGCGTGGTGCTTGCGCCTGTAATCCCAGGAACTCAGGAGGCTGAGGCAAGAAAATTGCTTGAACCCGGGAGGTGGAGGCTACAGTGAGCCAAGATCATGCCACTGTACTCCAGCCTGGACAACAAAGTGAGAATCCATCTCAACTTAAAAAAATATATATCAAGGGCTCCTCCAACACTCTGTTCTCTGCCTCTGTAAATGGAAACCCACCCAGCCCCCACAGTCCCGTCCTATCTCCCCTCACAGCCACTCCATGGCCAACCTCAAATCAAGTGTTCTCTTTTATTTTATGATTTTTGAGATGAGTCTCGCTCTTGTTGCCCAGGCTGGAGTGCAATGGCGCAATCTCGGCTCACTGCAGCCTCCGCCTCCCAGGTTCAAGTGATTCTCCTGCCTCAGCCTCCCAAGTAGCTGAGATTACAGGCATGCACCACCATGCCCAGCAAATTTTTTATCTTTTAGTAGAGATGTGGTTTCACCATGTTGGCCTGGCTAGCCTCAAACTCCTGACCTCAGGTTATCCACCCGCCTTGGCCTCCCAAAGTGCTGGGATTATAGGCGTGAGCCACTGCACCCAGCTATGTTTTCCCTTTTAATTGGAAAAGGAAACATAGGAACATCCAGTTTTGAATGTCCAGTTTTAAACTCAAAGGCATGTGCTTAAAACCTCTAGAACTGCTGGATAAAACCTAACAAAAATGACTTGAAATGCTCTTAAGAGAGGGAACTCCCCCAGATAAGAGGGTCTTGAAAACTCAGGACATTTGGGGAGCCAGGAGGAACCAGAGGAGCACAGGTGTTAGAGTCTGGCCATGCCCCCAAATCCGAGGGCTCTGCCGGGGGGTGATTAGAAACAACCGTGATTAGAAACAACAAGCTGTCACGACTTCTTGATAATACACTGGGCCTTGGTCACACACATTCGTCTCAGAATAAACCTCTTTTTGACAAGGAGGAAAATGGCAGACAAGAGACAGGACTGACATGCAGCTCCCACTTGGACGGACACACAGAATGGGGTCTGGAGAATCACATCATGAACTATTGCTGCAAGAACCACTACAGGAACATACCAGGAAAACCGAAAGAATCCTCTGACCCTCTGAAAGAAGTACCTGTCAGCAAACACTGCAAGGCAGCTGAAAAACTGAGTTTCCAAAGTGTGAGGGGAGGAAAGCCTGTCTCCAAACACACATCCTCACTGGGGAAGGATTTAACCTTTCCTAGAGCTGAAAAGGGTTTAGAGAGCCAACTGAAACACAAAAGTAGAAGCAGCAGTGAGAAGAACCCTGTAGGCATTCCTGGTCCCCAGGGCTCATTTCACAGGGGTCCCTGAGGAAGGGAAAGCAGCCAGCAGAACTGGGGAGAAGCTGCAGGGTAAAGGAAGCTCCCAGCTCAATTCTGTAATAATTTTGACTGAGCATGAATTTTTCTGAGTAGAATCCAGAAGGGGAGGGGCAAACAGGAAGTATGGATACAAGCCCAGAAGCCACAGCCAAAGGTGCAGGCAGGTGGGGAGGGGTTGAGATGTTGATCACCACCCGTGGAGGTCTGTCCTGCAGACCCTGACTCGGCAATGGATGAACAAATACACCCCCACACACAAAGTACAGTGTAAGAGTCAGGCTAGGGGGTTGTCAGCTGCTCTTGGAGGGCAATTGCAGCTAACTGACCCCTTCTCCTTGTTCCTCCTCGAATTTATTCAGTATATATTTAATAACAGAGGTTCTGTTATATCCAAAAGTCAACATGCTTTTGGATAATTAACACGGTTAAAAGAGTGGTTTTGTGAATGATAAAAGGTTTTGGTTCTGGGGCCCAGAACAAACACCATTAAGGGTAATCCCCCCTTCAACATCCCCAGGGCCATCAGGCACAAAGTTCACAGGAGTAAACAGAGTAGAGACAAAGGAATGTGGGGTAAACAGACCTAACTGGGGAAACTTTTATTACCCCTAATCTTCACCTTAGGACATAATGCTCTAAGGTAAGAACTAGCAGCCTTCAGCCAAAACTTCTACTGAAAGTAATGCAAACCCTTCAGCCTTCCAAGGAGGTTTGAGACTATAATCTTACAACTTTCCCTAATATTTCCCTTAATATTTAGCCAAACACCCTGAGTGAATCTCAACAAGGGGTGAGGCCTGAGGGCCCTGCTTCCTTCCTTTGTCTTCTCAGCAGGGAGGCTGGTAGCCTGGGGCAAGATCTAAGACACAGCAGAGGTACATCAGCCTGAGAACCACATCCCCAGCCTCCACAGTGGCTGCGGCAAGCCCCACCCCTAAGGACAGTCCGAGCTCAAACCTGCCTAACCCTGCCCCCAGCCTGATGGTTTTTCTCTGCTGGCCCTGATAGCCAAAGACAAAAGATATCAGCTCTTAGAAGCTCCACCGCCCCACCCATTGCCTGAGAAACCAGAGTACAGTACTCATCCTGGCCAAGGGAGGATGAGATTACATCCCCCTTCTATTGAAGCTGGTGGTCTCTTGAAAGTGCCACCTCCTTGCTGGGGGCCAACCAACACAAGCTATTACAGCAACTCATAACAGAACAAATCTGCTCCAAGGTAGGAGAAAACAACTAATCCCACCACCTGCAACATCCTGGCTGACCAGAGGGCCCAGGTCTGTCCATGTGACAACTTCACTGTAGCATACCAGCATTTGAGAATACCAGTGCACTAAAAACACAACCAAGGACCCCCCAGGGTCCACTTCACTCCTCTGCCACCTCCATCAGAGCAGGTGCTGTATCCACGGCTGGGAGACCCGAAGACGGATCGCATCACAGGACTCTTATAGACATCCCCCAGCGCCATCCCGGGGCCTGGTGGCCCACTGGGTGGCCAGACCCAGAAGAGCAGTAACAATCACTGCAGCCCAGCTCTGAGGAAGCCCCATCCCTAGGGGAAGGGGGAGAGCACCACACAGCACCCTGTGGGACAAAAGAATCTGAACAGCAGCCCTGGAGTTCCAGATCTTTCCAAATAGTCTACCCAAATGAGGAGGCAGAAAAGCCACTGTGATAATATGACAAAACAGGGTTCTATAGCACCCCTAGAAGATCATAGTAGCTCCCCAGAAATGGATCCAAACCAAGAGGAAATCTCTGAATTGCCAGATGAAGAATTCAGAAGGCTGATTATTAAGTTACTCAAGTAGGCACCGACAAAGGTGAAAAACAACTTAAATTAAAAAAAAAAAAATAGAATACAGATGAAAAACTCTCCGGAGAAATAAATATCATAAAGAAAAATCAATTGCAACTTCTGGAAATAAAAGACACACAAAGAAACAAAATACACTGCAAAGTTTCAACAATAGAAGAAAGAACTGCAGGGCTCAAAGACAAGGTTTTCAAACTAACCCAGTCCAACAAACACAAAGAAAAAAGAGTAATTAAAAGAAAAATGAACAAAGCCTACAAGAAATTTGGGATTATGTTACACAACCAAACCTAAGGATAATTGGTGTTCCTAAGGAAGAAGAGGAATCTAAAAGTTTGGAAAACTGATTTGAGGGAATAATTGA